GGATCTCTTCAGTGGGCTTCCCGGCCAAAAGCTTCGCTCGAGAAGGGAAGCGCTGAGTCTGTCCGAGAGGCGTGCCTTCCTCCGCTGCTCTGCCTGCTGACGCTCCAGCTCCTCCGCTTCTGCGCGGATCCGTGCAGCCTCCTGCGAGGGTGGGCGGCCGAACCAAAGATGTTGTGGCGGTCGGGTCCCTGGGTGGCTGGCTGCCTCACTACAAGGCAAAGTGTCAATTGTAAGTTTCAAGCAGCAAGATGACATGGCAGTTGATCAATATTCCTGTTTCCGGAAAACGCCATCTTCGCGAGAAAAAAAGGTTCTTTCGCGAATCTTTCGCGACTCCATCGCCAAGCCCTTTTGTTTGCCCTTTTGTTTGCAGCATGCGCTCTGGAGCCATTGTGGCTGCTGCAGTTATGCTTGCACACAGGATAGCCGCATGCGTGCAGTACGTAGTGTTAAGTGCAAGCAGTCACCATCATTCGCCCTTGCCACTTGCGCTTGCCGGCGATGTGCGGAACCTTGCAACAAGCTCCCTGTCCTGTCGCCGGTCTTTCGCGGATCTTTCGCGAAACTTGCTCCAAAATAGCCCAGCCAACGTTATTGATTTGCGCCATTCCCAACACAGGCAGGGAATCAATAACGCAAGTGTAGGTGCTGCGTATCTCCCTCTACAAGGGAGCGGGGTCTGCAAATATGTAAGTGCACAGGCATGCCTCCAAAAATCCAACGCGGAATCTTTCGCGAAAAAATAAGTTTCTTTCGCGAACTCCATCGCCGATCTTTCGCGGAGGGATTTAAGCCAAGACGAATGGTCACCGAATACATGACTCCTTGCAAGGACCTTTTGATCAACCCCCACATGCATTCCAGTCAGTATGGCCCTGCAAAGTCTCGATTGCCGATGAAGTCCATCGCGTTCCGTGAACAATCATCTTGCGCCGCTGGCCTTTGCCAACTCTGCAGCATCGGCTCTTCGCGACTGAGCCTGAGCAAGCGCACGAACCCCCAAAGCATGCGTTCCCTGAGATCGACATGTCTAAAGCGGTAGCTGACAACAAGGCAAACTGCACAAGTCAGAATTTGGTTCAACAAATCAATGAGTATCTGCCTATTGCGTGAAACACGCGCCATCAATAATGTCTTACAAGCTTATATGCTTTCCCTGCCCTGCAGTATTGCACAAACGGCAGCTTTGGTGCGTTGCTATGGCTAATGGTCAACATTTGCCGCACCCCCTATCTTGTTGTACTACTTCTTAGAAGCTCTGTCTTTGCTGCATTCCTGCCCGACCTCGATTGATCAGTATCACTGTCAACTGAAACACATTGCTTTCCTATCTGCTTCTCAGGCCTCCTATCTCGTTCCCATATCATAGGCATGGTCCGGGGCTGAACAAAAGCATGCTGCACTGCCACTCAACATCACACCTTCTGCGTTGTTCACTTCAATGATACTGTTTCCTCTCAACCACTGTCGCACAAAGCTTGGACAAAAGCAAATAATAGTTAATTACTCAACCCAAACGTGTGCTACCAAACTAGAGCACGAAACGGCGCTGTAGAACTCAATTGTTGGTTTGCTGGTTTACTTGTTTGTTTGCAATGAGCTTCACAAAATGCCCTCCTCCTTGATCTGCCTGCGGAACTCTTCGAAGAAAGGCCGCCAAGCAGGCTGCGGAGCAGCAAACCTGCTACTTGCTTGTTGGTTCCATCGATACAACATTCGCTTCACCCTCAACTACCGTCGACCGGAGTATTGAAATTGAACCTCGCTGATTTATGGCTCGAATGAGGTCTTTCAAGAAGGCGCTGTCACAAGGACCACTTTTCTCACAACAGCCTCTCTGGGTGTTTGTAGATGCATGCTTGCCCAATCTATGGGAGGGCTGTTGTTCACTCCCAGCTCCCAACACAATGTGATGAATCGGTTCGGTCAAGCAGAATAAACCAAACATATACACCTTCTCTCGCACGGCCTTTCACTGTTATAGAATTCGGAGTGCCCAGGCCCTGAGTTTCAATTTTCCTGAAGCCTAGCTTCCTAACGCAAAAGCAGACACAGTTGCAATACGCTCTGCTTGGCAATACCGGCATGATTCGGAAGTCTCACCGAGAAAGAAACAAAAACATGAACAGCAATACACCCAACACACAACCACGCAATTAAGCTGCGTGTCCATATACAATCTACAGGTGTAACATGTTGCTTGTTTTGCCAAATGAGCGGAAATTCCGAAATTTAAGCGTAAACTGCCAATTGCATGGTCTGCATCCATTTCTGCTGATTTGGCCGGATCTTACATCTACCGCGTGGCTCGAACGGCTTTCATGTTGGCACCTTCCAAATAGGAGTGGGACACGTAGGTTTCCTTGACATGGTGCAAAAATGCGCCACAATCCCCAACAAGATAAGTTTTGTAAGGTTCATCAGCCCTCAACTGTTGGAATCGATGGATGTGTGGCAAATCCTTCAAACTTGGCCGCCTGAAATATGCGGAAATCGGCGGAAAGGCCCAAAAACAACTTGTTTGCACATATGACATGTGTTGCTTGAACAAGTTGCTGACAGGGTAACAGGCCTGCTACGTGGCTCTCATGAAAAGCTGGTGAGGAATGGTCCTCGACGTGGTAATTTTGATGACTGTCCAAGGTTAAAAAGGTCTAGAAAACGTAGGCTTGGATTGAACATGGAGTTGATGAGCGCCAAAGAGTGGCTGGCAAGCAACAAGGAGAGGTCGAACCGAGATCCAGGTACATTTGGTACATAAGTGTTTTTCCAACAATTCGCGTTCTCTTGTTTAAGGAACATGTTGCGAAGTTGTTCAGAAAGAAGTTCTAGGTAGGTGCAACAATACATTGATACAGGTTCTGTACATACGCTGAAGTCTTGGCGTCTTATAGCAACCAAGCTTCCGCAGTGTGCTTCGCCGGGCCCAGGCGAGCAGGCCCTCAGCTGAGCGGCTCAAGAACTTCATGTGACTTCAAAAGGCAAAAGTGAAGAGGTGAACAAGGAGATGCGTTTGCCCTAAGACACGACGGAGGAGCAGAAATTGCGCGCTACCTTGCCTTGATGTAAGGCCAACACTGGATGGTGCACCCAGCAGGATGGGCTTGGCCCAGTGGCTAGGAAGACCTGGTGCACGTGGACGAAGGCATGTGACATGTGAGCTTGGGGCTTGCTTGCAACCCGCAAACAAGAAAGGCTTTGCCCAGTGCTGCAAGAGTTTGGACCCCGCAGATGTGCATTATCGACAGCCTGCCGAAGAGTTGAGCTGGCACGTGCCGGCTAGGCATTTTGCGCCGATGATGGTTATTGTCTTAACATACAAGTTGTATCAAGTTGTATCAAGTTGTATCAAGTTGTCATGTCAACAAAACAACCCAGTTGGGCCAGTTTGCCGGAGGCCGCCAAAGGGTACTCCGAACACTTTGGGGTTCAGTGGAAAACGATATAGCCAAACCCCAAAAAAACATAATATCCTTGTTTAATCCAATATGGTCCAATGGTATACAGTATGGGGGCCCAGAAGCTTCTTTTTTTGATGGCCATGTCTCGCGAGGGAAGCTGGCCAGGATTGCAGTGACCTGCAAGCAACCTTGAGCATCCCAGCCTGGTAGTTCAAGATCCCGCCCAGAAATGTCTTTTGCAATTGACTGTGCGAAATTGTGTTGTTGTTTCTCAGACAGCCATTTTGAGCAGCTGCATTGCAGCATTGCTATGCTAAGTATGCGATTGGTGAAGCTCTTGCAGACCACACCAAGCCTTGCACAAAACCCTGATTGCCCATGTAGCAAACGAAGTATTGCAAAGTACACTTGGGTGGCTCCGGCTCGAATCTCACAACTTTTTACTAAAACTTGTCCATGTGCGGAAACCAACGTTATCGTTTATGGGGCTTCGCGTTTGTCACCCTTTTGAGCAAATGCCAGGCGACGAGATCACTATGACATGTTTTTTTGTTTAATACTGAGAGTTTAGCCGACTGCTCAGATGCGCAACACTTTTGCACCTGGTCATCATGGAACACGCCAACATCTTCCCTGCCCTGCCTGCTGGGCTCAGCTCCATGACCCGTACGCTGAGCCGAAATGCAAGCGATCTCCACTCCCGTCCAATCGCTCGCTAAGTAATGACTAATGACAGGCTATGCCAGGTATGGACTCTGAGAACTATTGTATGAACGCCTGCAACACTATTAACAGAAACTATAGGAAACCATTCAACATCCATACCCCAGCAGCATTCTTCATGACAATGCATGTTGGCACTGTAATTGCCCGGAAGCCATCCTACCTCAATCAATGAAGTGTTGCAACACGGACACGTGCCTGGACGCAGCGTGCAACGACCTGGGCGCTCTGGCTCTAGCCCAGTGTGTTTAATTTTGCATGTGCCCTTCACTACACTGAAGAGCTAACCATGTCACTCTGAGAACGCGACTCATTCTGAAGTTGGCATAAGGCAGGCAGCAGTGGACCGCCCTCTTCGGCGTCCCACGGTATCTCCTAAGTCCGCCGTCTCTGTGCAAACTGCCCGGTAGGAAAAATATGTCTCTCTGACAAAAGCAAGCAGAAGCGAGCTCAACCAGGGGCGCCTCAAGCCCTGAATTGTGCTCCCTTTGGTGAAAAAGTCCAATGTATCTAAAGGCCCTTCCGGGAAGGGCTGCCAGACAAAGGACCCCGCAGGAAGGGCCGTTCTGTTTTCAATGCTTTTCGGGTCTTGTGGGAGCCCGCTCAATCCTATCCGGCTTGGTGGAATTCAAGCTGAAAGACTGTTTCTCACTTAGCCTACCGAGATGCACTCAAGTGCAGTTTTTTGCTCACTGCGACGTAAGCGCAAATGCGAAGCTCGCATCACCGTGTACTTAACAGTGTTGCTAGCTATTTTGCGTGTGTCAAACTGGCTACAGAGTGGTGCTCATTGCAGTGGCTTTAATTCTTGACAAAGCAAGGCCCATGCAGTCCAGACAATGAAATTGAAATCACAAAACCCGACATTCACGCTAAATCACGCTAATTTAACGCTCTGGAGGGTCCTTTCACGCGCTCAGAGGTCCTTCTCACGCTAATTCACGTGGAATTCTTGCTCGCCGATTTGACAACTTGATTTGTCCAAACCACGTCATTGCCATTGTAAGATGCAACAAATGATGCCCTTGTCTTTGCGTTTCTCCAATTAGTCCTGTGTGCCGGAGTAGTGTCCTATTCAGGACTTCCATTTTGCGCCTTGCCCCAAGTGCTCGGATTCGAGCGCAGGCCTCAAACCTCATTGTCATCTAAACTTTCCAAGGAGTCAATTGCCAAGTTCATGAAACACACAATTTCCGCCGACTTGGTAAGCCTGCATGGCATGGCCAGCAAAGCATGCGCGCACACACCTCCCAGGAGGTCCTTTGTAAAGGACCCTCTTGGGAGGGCCGTTGACAGACTGGGAAAACAAAGCTGGCAAAACGTCGGTCAAGTGTTTGGCTTGCGCCAGCATGTTCCTGGAAACATGTTTTACTTCGAGCAATCCTATGCAACTTGCGCGCTAAACACTGCAACCACACAGGTGCCAAAAGATCAATCCGACTGCGTGAGGGCCTTAAGCATGCCGCTCTCTGACGCAGGAGCGGACAGACTCAAGCGAACCAAAATGCAGCTTGTCTTCGAGGGGCCAGCCAAGCTCTTGCAACGACACGTCATCTGCAGCCAAGCTCTACAGCCAAGATCCAACTACAAAGGCCGATGGCAGCTGAAGTGGGCGCCGCGGGCAGGTTTTGTTTTACTGGTTCAACTCCAACTGTCCACTGGCTTCGGCAGCCGAACTTTTCCTGCGTGAGCAGTGCGTCCTGAACTGATCTGCACACCTGTCCTGGTCCGGGCAGTGGCGGGAGCCTCACCAGCTGCCCTTGTCTGAGCTGTCGCAGCTGTCCTCTCCAAAAATGAGTTCCTGTACTGAAATATGTGTGAAATGGTGCTGCCAAATCCTTACACAGGCCAATTTAAAGCTGACGGTTGCTACCTCCTCCTTTTTGATGCTTCAATGTATCGCTTTGCTCAATCAACTCAGACCTACGATTAATTAGTGATCAACTGCCTGGTGCAACCATCTGAGCGGCCCATTAAATGCATATGAGAACAAGAGAGGGCTACCCCCCCAGCTCTTGGAGAAACGTAAAGGCCTTCATGTCCTTCCCAAGTCCCTCCCAAAACAGAAAAACAATGTGTCACTCTGCAAACTTCGACCAAGGCTCGAAACCCAGAGTTTGCTCATCCAGCCAATGCCTGGGCAGACTTTGGTTTTGAGCGCGAAACACATTCATAAAACAAACAGCTCTACATTTCTGCCACATTCCGAAACTCTGCCATGCCCGCCGCTCCCGCCTGTCTTCCAGGTCCAGTTTCAACCTCCTCTGTTCCTACCAGGTCAACAATCCCTTAAAAGGTGGTCGAATCCTTTTTCTTTTGTTGGAGCCTTGTTGCAAAGTTGTTTAAAGAAAATAGCGTCCAGCCCTCACTGATGAACGAGAAACGATCGTCAACTCTTATCCAAGCCTGAGCACGTCCTGCTCCCAGCGCACCCAACTCTTTCCGGGACCAACTGTAGTGCAGCCCCGCCAAATTGAAAGCCCTTCCTCAAAAAGAGATTGAAAGGCAACGCAAAGGAAGCCACATTTAAAGCCAAACTACAAGGCATTCCTCAAAGCAGCTGTTCAAGCAAAGTGAAGGCAGCCGATTTGAAAGTCCATGTCAGGAGCCAGGGCCCAAAAATTCAGCCTCCACTGCTTTGGCTGGATATGTTTAAACAAATCTTTACCGGTTTCGGGGGGACCCTTTGTTGATCAGACTCCAACACCAATGTTATTTAGAGCCGGCTGGCTCATAAAATCAAGTCGTTCGTGTTTCAAGCCTCATCTACCATAAAGCCCCCGCCTTGTTCAGCGGTACTGTGATGAGCGGTGCCTGACATTGGGGAAGGACTTGGCATGGCTCTAGCCTTGATATGTTGCGTTCCCATGTTCAGTCTCAGTAGTTACTTTGACATGCCCAAGCCTTGATGCGCCTTCATAAAGAACATGCTGGCCACTTTGGCAGGCTGCCACCATGCCTCTGTCTGTAACATGATATTTTTTGTCACTGCATTGTTTGAGAGCTTGGCACACAACATATACATTGGTGCATCTGCGTGGCCCAACACCACGCGGCATGCCGTTACCTTTGCCATGGCTCAGGCCCAAGTGCCTCGAACGGGTTGTCGATATCCTCCTCCGGCACGAAGCCGTAGGTTGCCCAAAGTGCAGCCGTGGACAACTCGTCGTACAAATGGACGAGCTCTTCGCCTGCTGCGACCGAGAAAAAAAGGCAACCGCAAGCAGCCTGGTTCAAATAAAATCTCCAAGCGTACTCTTGACTGCGTATGACTCTTCCAGTATAGTATCATCAAGTCGCTACGTGCCATGTGCCATGCATGTAAGTGTGTGGATGCAGCGTAGATGAATATACAATGTATATTACATATTATATATATATATGGCTTCCGTTCAAAAAGGCCGGCTAAGCAGCTATATACAGTATGTTCATAATTCCTGTTGCATCTTGTTTTTTCCTTTTCGACATGAAGCGGGCCCCCACCTAAATCATGCAAATCCCACTGGCAGCGCTAGCTTCGCGCTAGCTCGGCGCTAGGTCGGGGACGTTAGTTGACGTGGCACGTGAGATGCGCACGCATGGCCCTTCTGTCCGGGGGCTCTCAGCGCTCGAGGCATTCCTTGCTTGCAACGCGAAAGTGCTGCGTCTGCCAAGAGATCTGCACGTGTCTTTTGCGAAAGTGACGCGCCTGCCATGCCTGCCCTTCCGAAAGCGTTGCGCCTGCCACGAAATCTGCGAAAAATAAGAAAACATGGGCAGTTTTTCGCGCTAGCTCCGCGCTAGCAGGCAGTTGCCAACTTGAACACGTGGGCACGTGCCTGGTTGGAGGCAATACCCAAGAAACCACTTGCATGTTTCTTGGCTGTGGTTGGTAGTCAGGCCAAGTAAAGCTATATACGCATTTCCGTTTTGCTACTTGCTGAAGATGTGGTGTAGAACGTTGGGATTTATTGTGTGTTTGAATATCCTATAGCAGCAGCTTTAAGAAAAGGCCCGCGCTAGTGCGCCTGTCAGTGGTTTGCACGTTTCTTAGTCAAACGTATTGTGCCGCAATGGTTACGTGTTCATATGGCCCGAATGATACGGGCCCCCATGGAATGGCGATTTACGCTACAAAACTGGGAGCCAACATTTTGACAACCAGCCATATACACATGTAAACACATCACGTGGTGACGTTTGAAAAGCTGACGGTAAAGGCCGTGCGTCTGCTCTCAGCAGCACTGACCAGGCAGATAGCACTGCACAACGTGGGGGATGCGGCCAGCCGAACATTTGTCGGACAATACAGGCAAACAAACATGGCTTGGCATCTTCAGCATCATAGACTCGGGTAAGGGGCGTTACTGCACATCTTTTGGCTTCATGAGTTTTTCAGCTTCCGCAATCATGTTTGCTTCCGTTCTGACTTTGTTCTGCTGTTTCGTTTCCTTTTGCTTCCTTTAGCTTCCTTTAGCTTCCTTTAGCTTCCCTTGTGTTCCTTTACCTTGGCTTTTTTCACTTCTTTTCTTTCCTTTGACTTCCTTTGCCCATTCCAAGTATGGCAGTAAACCCCCTTGCTCCACCTCCAAGAGTCTATGACAGTAGCCCGACAGGTACTGAGGCCCCTGAGCGCCTTCTTGTACTGGGCACTCTGCTTGTAGCAGCGCACCAGACTCGATTGTGCCACGAAACCTTGGAATCAGGCTGGCTGCATAGCTGCATCCGTCCATACAGTACACTATGCAAGCAACAATATGGTCTGACAAAAGATAGTATGGCATTTTTCCAATCTGAACAAACACGCGGCTAACATTGGAATTTGATTATTAATGGCCTTAAAGCAACCCAAAACGGAATGAGCCATGCCAAGCTGGAGCGTAGGTAATTCTAGGTTGCCGCACGTGCCGTGATAGCATGAACATCTAGACACAAGCACCCTGGTTGGCCATTCGGAATCGGTGACGCAAAAGGGGAGCAGCTATCACTGTTGATGCCCAGCATAGTGCAACATGATTAACCGGGACCAGAACCAAAAGAAGGACTCATGAATAGACCTACATGATCTATCGGGATCAAGAGCCTAAATTAATGCTCAGTTCTACCATTTATTTTGCTACCTTCAACTACAGCTGACGCCCAAAGCGTCAACCATATTCTGGGTTAGCCACAAAGGAATCATGACTTGACTCTGCCTGAATATGTCTGCGCCAGGCCACACACAATTCCAGCTAGATGCACCCGAGCTCAGCGGCAAAAAGTTGTTGAAGAGATCCTGAGATCGAAGCCGCGACAGGACAAACTGCTGCAGTTTGTCTCTGAACTGAGGAACATGCAGTGAAACAGCTGCGTAACTACTAGTCAAATCTGCAAAGCTCATGCTATATTAGGTTGCCCGTCCAAGGCAGCATTTCATGTTCAAGGCTAGGCATATGGGAGGCTGCACCCTGCGACCTGGCTGTCACTTGCCCTTCTTGTCGTCATGCTCAGCATGCCGCCTGAAGTAAGTTGCCACGCCAAGGGCCTGGGGGACCTTGGCCTCGTGTGATTGTCAAGCTGCGATGAAGGGAACTAGTGCACGGACAGCCTCGCCATCAGCTGTGGCCAGGTTGAAGGACCTGTATCATGGCAAGCAAAACGTGCTTCTTCTTTTTTTCTGCGGGGGTTTACAATGTTTTTGGGGCTATGAATGGTTAAGTGTGCTCTGAGTCGTTTGCGTGGCCACGTGACGTAACATGCATAGGAAAAGCAGGCAGACGGCAGCAGCTCACAGACTTGCTTCGTGTGGTTGTCGAAGAAGGTTCGGTCATCGGGAAGTAGAACTCACGCATTGGTGTGAAGACAGCAAATCAAAAACACAGCGTAACGGGCGTCTCGGTTTCATTTGGCAAGCATGAGAATCGGCCAATTGACTGAGAATCGGTTTGAGAATCGGTTTGAGAATCGGTTTGGGTCCCACTCCGACCCTCGGTTTAGCAACAATTGCAGGCTTTAAACCTCGCCCAGCTCCTGAGTAGCACAGGATGCAACTCGAAAGAACCCAAGACACCATTTGTGTCTTCATGGCTTCTGTGGTATCGTTTTTTCCTCAACATCGTTTTACAATGATTTAGGCCTGCAAACCAAGTTAAGGGATGGCCCCTTACACAACAATAAGGCGTGTTTGCTTTTAACAGAATTCCGACCCACTTTAGATGAACATGGCCGGCACTTCGGCTAGGCTTCTCCGGCTGGCCTTGAGTCCACGACAGCCAGCGCCCACATCTCGTCAGCAGAAGCCCCTCGTCGATTCAATCTTGCCTTGACATTGTTGAACGGCCCATCCAACTGCAAAAACACTCCTTGTCCCCAGACAACATGCACGAACTTCGATAATCTGTGTGCTCCGTGGCGCAAAGCCGCACATCCCGTCTCTGTCAGGTGCCATGCACTACAACCACTCTCTGAGAACTTGGCTGAAAAAATGTGATGTGCAAGGGCACTTCCATCGAACAGCTCTGCAAGATACCTAAGCCACAAGCACAAGACAGGGCCTCGCAAACTGGTGAAGTCTTGCACTGTATTACAATATTTGAATCAAACTTGATCCCTCGTATTGAGCCTACACGGGCTTATTCGTTTCTGATATCTGGTTGTATGCCTCAGCCGTGTCCAAAAGTGACAGTGCCAAAGCCAAGAGGCTCAGCTTGCTGAAGCTCCTTTGGCCACAGCAGGGGATGCAAAGGCGCCAAGTCCTCAGCCACGCCGTTGCATCGATCAGTGGCATGGGCGACATGTTAGATTTCGCCCAAGCACGCCCAGCCATGGTTGCAGGCATTCGGCGAATTGAACATGCATAAGCTGTTCCTGCCCAGGCGCTATCTTATCTGGCAAGGACTGGAAGTACGGCTGAAACCTGCATACCGGGCTGTTTGTGTTTTGCAGCCCCTGTCGTGAGTGGCCCAAAAGAGAAAGAGATACAAAGGAAGGGTATGCGGAAATGGCCCATGCACAGCGCAATGAGCAAAGCAGGCTAAGCAATTCTCAACGTGTGGAACATCTACACAACCTCTGATCCTCCAACATCCTCAAACCTGACTTCACGTCAAAAATACATTGAGATAAAACCGAGAAGAAAAAGGGATGCCATTCCTTGAAGCCGAGGTAGCCGTGAGTCTGCGTCCTGGTATTCCTGCCTCAATTTCCGCACGAGCGACAAACTGATTCTCTTTGTCCTGCTTATCATAGCCTGAAAAGTTGAGGCACTTTGGATTCTCTTGAATGAGCCCAAATGTGGCAAAGTGGTAAGCAAAAGCACGGCATGGCGCATGCTACCTTGGCTCTCATTCATGGATGCCCGTGGCTGGCCCCGTGACTTGGAGCGTCTGGGTTGCCCCGCAACAGCGCCGTTGCGAGGGATTCAGCGTCAGCATCGCCTAGTGCAACTTGGAGTGTCACGAAAACCGACGAGAGACGGATGAGCGGTGCTCATGTTCAAGGTGCCCTTCTCTAAGCACAAAGCCGCCTGGCATCAGCAGCGCTTGGCTGGGAACTTTACCTGACAAGTCGCCATCTTCGTTGCCGCTTGTTTCTGGGAAAGGTACGTAACTAATTGGCCAGCTAAGGAACGCATCTGTGCTGAAAGAGGCTCTCACACCAGAAATGACCGTCCTCGTATCCTCGCACATTTGTGAGTGCTCGATGCAAAGTCTGCAGCCAGGTTACAAACCAATTCGCCCGCTTCAAAGCTGCGGGCAGCAAACACGCCGAGGCCTCCAAGGTGAAAGACAAACTGCAAAATCCAACACCAAGCGTGCCATTGGTATTGCTGCTGCAATGTGCCTCCGTCAGCATAGGCGCCTGGGCGCATTGGTGTGCAAAGCCAAGTTGGAGCGCGGGTCTTGTGCGACAAATCCATGCCCTTCAACTACCTCAAGCATCACAGTTGGACAAACATGGACTGCCTCCCGGCACTTCCCAAATGCCTAAGGCCTTGCTGAAAGGAAGGAGGTAAAAGCTGCGCAGCCAAATTCCCAGCTGCGAGGTTCAGCCAGGTGGCTTTGTCTAATGCGCAACTTGTCAAGGCCTTCCACATCTGGTAAATCCTGCAACAGCATCCACACAAAACTGGTAAACAAGTTCTGTAGTGCCCAGCAAAAGACTTCCGTGCGGCAAGACATTGACGTGTTTGCAACCTCTATGTTCTTCGGATGTTGACAGCTGCCAAATATCCTTGTCGCCTTTCCAGTCAACCTCAGGATCCAGAATCCGCAGCAAAACTGAAAACAAGGGTAAAGCAGCTGGTCTGGGGTTTGGGCCATAACTGAACAACAGGCCTTTCAACAGCTTCACGGACCGCCTTCTTTGCGCAATAAATTACATTGCCACGAAGACAAGAAGCCCTCAGACGATGCGCAACCGCAAACGGATTGAAACGAGAGACCCACGTATGAGGAAGGACACAACGCCACAGAGACAGATAAGAGAAGCTTTGAGCTCGCTAGGCCGTTATTAGTTCTTAGTTCTTTCTATCAATTTCTATGTATTTTGTTGTATTCTGCCATTGTGGCGTTGCTGGGCTCCTTCAGCCACCGCAGCAAGGGCTCACAGCTCCTCCCTGCCCGCAGCTGCACACGGGCACGACTGAGTGTGCGCGGCCTTGCCAAATGCCTGCATGGCAGTGTAGAAGTGTAGGGGAACATGCAAGGTGCAACACTGTCATGATTCAGGGATTATGATTTTACTGATGCTAGCCCTGGGGGATCACTTTGAGAAGGCTGCTACAAGTCACCATGTCATGTCCCCTGGTTGGCCAGCCAATCTGCCAAAGCATAGCATGCGGCAAGGCGCCCCAGCCTAACTACGGGCACTGCCAGAAGACCGGAGCACAGCGGCTGGCTCCAGCCTTGCGCAAGCAATCCACACAGCCCTCGCGCAAATTGCGTCCCGGGGGTCAGTCCTCTTTTACGCGTCAACATGTTTTGCACTTTCCCTCTCAACCGAAAAGGCGATGCAAGCAATAAGGACATGATTGTTGAAATTTACGCAGCTGGGCCGCAAAACCTGCTTTCGCCCTTGCCTCCAAATCCAATGAGATCCAAAGGGAGGCGCAAACCGGATATACCGGTCCGGAATACTGGAGATAAACATAGATTTCGGAATGCGTTGTTGTACTTGCTGCAAAAATAAAGAGTGAAGACCTAGGTTTGCCGCATCTAGGCGACCTTCAGTGGAAGAAGATATGGTTTTCTTTTTTTTCTCCTTTTTTTCTCCGAGCAAGACTGCCAATATCTTGTCAAGCAAGAGTGCACATAATTATCCTCGTCTGAATGCCAAAGATCCGCCAATCCAAGCAATTGCTTTCCCCCGCACACAAATAAAAGCAAGGGATTCCGAATTGTGGACCATTAACCTCCAAACAGGAATCCAGCTTGCCTGAGAACACAAACTCCAAGCTATGACGCAAGTCACCTGAACAATGTTAGTCTGCTTCCAACAGGTGTCTAACCCTCAAGTTGAAAATTGATGTCCTCTAAATAGTGTTATGCACGTCTCCATAAATATTTCATGAAGAAGGCAGCAATCAATGCTCACTCCGCACCGAATTTCAACATCATTGATATGAATTAGCCCGAAGCCCACCGGCAGCGCACGGCACCGACTTTCACAAGTTGGGCTGCACTGCACGGCACGCAAAACTCAAACATCGCAAGGTGGTTACTTTGGAAAGTCTGTATTGTATAGCTTCTATCATCCCTGTCAACTTTCTTCTTGGCTTCCCTGCCGATAATTCAAGCTTCAACAAAGCCTCTATGGAGAGTGAGACAAGGTTAGACCTCCTCCCCTCAAATAAACACTCCATTGCCTAGCTAAGTATGGACTTGCAAAGCCGCCCAAGCGTTGCAACGTGCTCTGCACACACACACACACACTGATGAGGGTGGCCAAAAACAGGACAAGTGGCGGCGAATTTCAGGATTGGAGGGCCGAGCACTTGCTTACAGGACCTCCTCAGTCTACACTTTGACTTACTCATGCAGGCCGCAAATCTTGTGCAACCGGCACCAGCCGCCCACAACCAATACGCGACTAGAACAGGTTTGACCCTCACAGTGCCAAGTTTACTTCCAAACGCTCCTCAAGGGGATCCTTAGCACCATGGCAAAAGTCAAACCTAGTCGAAACGAAAACGCGACGGCAGAACCTTCTGGTGCTGAGGCACTGCATGCGCGCCTGCCCGATGTGTGGGGCGAGGGACCTGAACAGCCGGCACCAGCCTCAGCGCAGGCCCGAAAGTTAGGCTTGATTGACCTTGGTGCTGAATCTGCGTATCAAACAGGCTTTCTGTCTTTCTGGTCGCACAAATACCTGTTCATGCATTTTGCTCTAGATGAATCGTCTCAACTTGTTGCAATATGATGCTTGCGTAGCCCGAAGAGAACAATAGATCCAGCTGTACCAGCGTTCACAACCTCAAATTGATCCCTTCGAAACACTCGACACGCCCTGAAGGGTTCAAGCAGCCAAGCCTCTGGCCGGGAACAGGCCACATCCATTGGCAAGAGGCGGCCCCGTTCAGACATGCCGAGTCGCGGCATGTGGGGTCCCTCGAGTCGCGATTTCGCTTACTAGGTGATGCGTGATTCATTTGTGTCCTGAAGCAAAGCTACGATTCTGGGGCCAGTGAGCTTCAGGGGACCGGCCCCAAATTACATGCAAATCCTGCAAACAAGTTGAGACTTGGCTGACGTCTGCATGTCACTGCCAGCGAACAGGCTGACCCAAAAAGGCTCCCGACTTGCTGAATCCTACCAAACCCCCCGTGAGTGCCTCGCTACTGTACGACTTGGCCTGCCTGGTAAACTTTTTCTGACCTGCGCGTGTGTGAAACCATTGGCAGGTCCGGGAAAAATGTTGAAGGAAACAGCGAATGAGGCCAGTGGCCCTGATAGAGCGACTCCAGCGAGTTTGCTAACAGCCGTTGGCAGTCCCTTGCAAGCACCATGTGAAGGTCCATTGTGACCCACAGTATGGCTCAACTACACAAAATGCTTGACTAGAACACAAAACAATACGACTCGGAAAAGCGTCCCATATCTTGCTGCTGCTTTGCTGCATCGTTCTGCTTCTATTAAGTTGGGGATTTGAGTGGATTCTGCAGTCCATGTCCACGCATCTCTGGCAGGGTTACGTGCTTGCAACTTGACTTCAGCTTTACGCTTCTGTTCGTGCAGCGGAACTCCCGTCAGCCGTCGGCACAGCCAGCTGCTGTGATGAGGTGTTCAACAAAAAAGCCCACCTGGAGAGTGACAGGACTTCTATTCCTCACCGGATACCCGGATACCATTGGCCAAGTCAAAATGCAACACAGCAACACAGCGAGCAAATTGAGGTGCCTTGAGATGCGTTCTGTCTACACATGCCAACTTTGCAATAGCTCCATGCTCCATCAGCTGTCCCGACCACCACCGAGCTGTCTTCTAAAGCAGCTGGTGCTCTGAAACTGCAGCTGGGCCCGGGGCAACAGGCCAAACCGGGCACCATGCTGAATTCAAGTCTTAGCCACTCGATCTGTTGGTTCGCTGCATACACCCTCAAGGCCTGGCCTCACAGCGCTTGAGTTTCCCCAGTGCCTAGACTCCTGGCAGAAAGCATACACTAAGGCATACATGTCCAAATATCTCGTGCACGGCTCCCTTGCAACTGTAGATTCTTGGAAGAGCCACGATATGCCGTGATTAGGCTTTTAGTTGTCCGCAGTGGACCCAAGAAAAAAAAGCAAAAGGCAGCGCAAGCCGGTGGCAAAGACAAGGCTGGCGAAAAACCCACTGGGCGCGGTTTGCGTGTACACGCCTTGAGCGAATGAGGCAGCGCTACATGGCTCGGCGACCGAACCGCGGACGCTCACAGAGCCATTTTTTGCAACAATGGCTCAGCTTAGTACGTAGCCTGCAATATGGCAATGAGTGTGGAGATCCCTGGAGATCATTTCTCTCAAGGGGGCCTGCTGCCAGCCTCCATGTTCGTGGGAGCGACCGGCCCCTCTCCTCATCCGAAGCCTTTGTCAGAGGGCAGTATTGGATGCAACCCGGTGGAGCACAATTGACTATACTTACCGAGGAATCCAATACATTTGATGGATTTCCCACGTGTTCTGGGACTGTAGCTGAACCCCACATTGGCATGCAGTTGGGTGATAATCATGTGCAGTTGGTGTTGTTGTTGGTAGACTCACTTTGTCCCTCTTTTTAACGTTGCTTGACTGGATTGCAAACCATGCAAATTCAGCAACATATTGAGGAAAACATTCGAGGAGCCCTTCTTGATTGTGCGCTCGGCTCCAGGGAAGTGAAACAGCTGGAAACATCAAAGCTCGTAACGCAGGCTCGCCTGGCCTTGTCCGCCAGAGTCGCTTTGATAAGAAGAGAGCTGACCAATGCACACCCAGAAATGCATAGAAAGGCTGCAGCTAAAGCCCCACTTGCTTCTCGAACACACCAATTTAAGGAGCCCTTACCCGCCGACAGCTTCGCTTCAAAACTTCCAATCTTGAGGAAACAAGTCAGTTGCAGAGAATCGAACACAAGAACTGGCCCCAACAAAATGCAGCGCTTGGAGATATTGTGCGCCTTACTTTCCGACCGACGTCATAATATGCGATGATTAGCAAGGATTCTGCAGGCAAACAACCTATGGCGAGCACTGCACATGAGCATTGTCACGAAACTGCGCCAAGCCCTCAATGCCACTCACATGGCCAAGAGCAGCCGCCTCGGGAAGAACGTAGTAACTGTTCAAAAGGAACATGCTTACCTCTTTACAATCCTTGGACTCCTTGGACATCTGTGGCTTGTCTTCAAGCCTCGCTGAAATTCTTTCAGTGGCACGCAGCGGACTGTTCTCCAGCCTGCTCATTGGGGTTCGCAAAGAAAAGCCGCTGCTGCCGCCTGCGGCCACTCTGTGAACCTCATTTCTAACCGAAGCGCACCACCCCTGCATGCTCACTAAGTCCCTTTCAACGCACAATTTAGCCGGCCAGCACCCAAAATTATGCTATCGCAAACTTCATAAAGCATAAGGCACTCATTGGCTGTCTCTTTGTCCTCTACCTGAACGGTTCCTTGATTCGGAATGTCATTGTGCGCTCATGAATGTTTGGGTCCATGGTTGCAACAGTTCATTGGACATCCCTACCGACACATCTCAAGGCCACCACCAGGAGATTCTGAGGTTGAAATGATGAACTTTTGAACGGATGATAATTTGAAGGCGTCGCTGGGAAATGCGTGAAATCGAAAACAGCGTGTTTTCCCAACACATCGTGATTTCCCCAAAACGTGGGGTTTGTTGGGTATGACACGTTCATCGGCTTTCGGCAACAATCTGAAGAAGGAGGCCGCGGATGTACATAGTCAAAAGTACCACCTTGATCAGCCTTGATCCCTCCGAAAAGGCTGCCAGGTTTATGACACGTGTGAAGCTGCAATGCCGTGGAAAAGGTGTGCTGGCTTTGAAGAGCGCAAGCTAAGGCAAAGCCCGTTTTTTGTTCACGACTGCTTTGATCTCCATCAAACAACTCGAATTAGCGCATCCGGAAGTGAACCCGAACAACCATAGAACCTTTATGGCTTGCCACGCTTTTCTACTTGCTTTCTACGGTTTAGCTACGGGTTAGAAAGCACGATGTTTTCCAAAAAACACGATGTTTTCGGTTGGGGCGGGTTTCTATGGGTGTTCTATGGTTTCTTACGGGTTAGTCGCCAAGACCCTACCGCATTTTCAACATAACACGAAAAGCGTCAAAAAATCTCAAACAGCGTCACCCAGGTTGTTGCACTCAAAGGAAAGGCTTCGGGATTCCAGCCCCCTTCAAACTGGTTCGGGTGTGACCTGGCGCCAGCTCAGGGATCAGTGTAGATCCCTGCCCCTCATGATGTGAAGCAAAGCAACAAATAAGTAGTGTTTCCGCCAAATCGCTATCAGGAGTAGCATGGCAATTGATTTTGTTGCAGAATGCAGTCGTTCAACACCTGCCTAGAGCTTCAAGAACCTGAACAATTGTCGTGCCCTGACTAAAACATCTTGCTTTCCTTGAACACTTTTTTTTTCAGAAGAAAGCATTGTGTTTTCGATGAAACCAAAACAAAGGCCTTCTGAGGCCAAACGCTCATTTGGAGCACAGGAGCAAAGGCAAGGGTCGGGAGTGGACTTGCTAAAAAACTGAAGTCTTGTTGCTTCATCACCCACCTCAAACTTGCACTGGTGCCGCATGGCAAGCAATGTCAAAAGTCCGCAAACCAGGCTTGCTTCACGCCCATGTGCTTTGCCCTGGCCATGGGACCGCGCCTTGTTAGAAACGCTGGAGCCGATGCCTGAAGTTTCGTCTGAACCTAAGGATACGCCTGAAGCTTGGCCCGTTGCCTTGCTTCCAGAACACGTTTTGCGTGATGGGTCGTGGCTTTCTGGTTCTGGTTCTGCTCCAGGTGTCACCAACACCTCAAGGCAGAAAGCCACGCCAACATCTACAACAGCCGCAAACACACAACGTGTTGAGCGCAAACACCAATGGGCACTGTCGCATGAACAAGTGATTGCAAAGCTCTGAGCATGTTCTTAACACCGGCGCGAACCCAAACAGCCAGCACCATGTGGGCGCGCAAGCGTGAATGGCCTTAAAGCAAGAACAAACAGTGCTGTCCTGGACACTCGCGGGAATCAGCGTGACACACGCCAGCAGCTGCAAGTGTTTAGAGCTGCGATGTAGGTCACGTCTACCCTTCCATGCGAAAATCTGCAGAAACAACTTCCATAAGCCGTTCCGCGCAATCCGGCACTTCCTCAACAACATGCCGCAAGGACAGCTAACAAACAATTCAAACCGTTTGCGCGACAAGCTTGCGTCTAAGAAAAGCTTATGAGGCTTTGCGCCACGTGTTGTCCTTGCGCGGGGGAGTCCTTGTGACCAACCCCACTCAATCTCAGCGCAGTTTGGCTTGGAACACTGCTCAAACGGCTGGATGGTCAAAACTCCTGCTTCCAGAAAACGCCAGTCTTCGCGCATGACAAGTCTCTTGCACGTTCCTTTCTCGACTCTACCGCCACGCCCTTTTGTTTGCAGTTTGGAGCTGCTGTTGCGGCTGCAGTTGCGCTTGCAAGCAGTCGCTATCATTTGCCGTTTCCACCTGCGCTTGCCGCGGCTGCTCCGTCCTTGGCCGATTTTGTGCAAGCTTGCAAGAAGCTGCTTGGGCTTTCGCCGGTCTTTCGCGGATCTTTACGAAACTTGCTCCAAATACGGTGTCGCCACTCAATATACCCGTAAATAGGTAAACAGGGTTTTGCAGTACCTCCGCAAGGGTTACCGTCGGCCCGGCCAATTTAAATAACCGATTTAAATGGGTATGTTGCGCTACTTTGCCTCTGGCCCGGCTGAATCTGGCTTAATCTGCTGAATCTGGCTGAACTTGACCGAAGTTGGTCTGGCTGAATCAGCTCTTGAGCGAGCACTCTGTCGATCAAATGCTCTGCTAACTTTGAAGGAACATTCAGAACTTTGCCTGCTCCGGCCGGCCCTTCAACCTCCAAAACCCTCCAGGTGCTC